CCAGCTCCTCAAGCCAAATACATAGCGAAAGTTTGGAATTACAATACATATGCAAATTCAGTTCAATTACTAATGGACTTAATCAAGCTATGAGGTGGTGGACCCTTTATCACTGAAGGTACTAACAGCTTTCTGAATGGTATCCTTCCTGCCTTAGCAATCCACCCACTGACTTTGATCTTTATCTACTCAGGTTTAGCACCCTTTCTCCTGATACTTTGGCTACGTCTACACTGGCCCCAAATTCCGGAAAAGGGATGCAAAGCGGGTAAGTCAGAATAGGGAAATCCGCGGGGGATTTAAATATCCCCCGCGGATTTAAATAACCATGTCCGCCGCTTTTTTTCCGGCTTGGGGAAAAGCCGGAAAAAAGTGTCTAGACTGGCGCGATCCTCCGGAATAAAGCCCTTTTCCGGAGGATCTCTTATTCCTACTTTCAGGAAAAGGGCTTTATTCTGGAGGATCGCGCCAGTCTAGACGCTTTTTTCCGGCTTTTCCCCAAGCCGGAAAAAAAGCGGCGGACATGGTTATTTAAATCCGCGGGGGATATTTAAATCCCCCGCGGATTTCCCTATTCTGTGGGAACAGTGACCCTACTCACAGGGATACCAGGGCAGGAAGAAGTCCATCTCTAGATCTCTGTCCTATTCTGTTTCCTGTATGCTATCTCAATAACAGACAATTCAGTCATTCTATTTGTTATAAAAACAGATTCAAGCTTGCATGAGCCCATGTATGTTTTCCTTTCCATGATGGCTGTCACAGATCTTGCTATATTGATAGCCACCATGCCGACCACCTTGGGCATATTCTGGTTTAACTCTTCAAGGAATCCAACCACAGGAACAACTCTGGACCACAGAACATCTGGGGGTCTTAGGAGTGTGAAAGAGACTTGAAGGAGCAAGTTACCCAAGAGCCAGTCCTATTTCAACCAAACATCTCAAAACCAGTCATCTTACAGACTCCTCGGAAGTGGGGCGGCAGGCCATGCTACTGCAGGGATGAGAGGAGAAGAACACCCTGTACTCTACCTACACCGAAAACTATTTCCCTGTGAAGTGAAACTTTCCACTGCTGAAAAGGAAGCCTTGATGGCAAAGTGGGCAATAGAGGCCCTAAAGCACTTTTGGGCTCATTACAGACCACACACCCCTACCGATGGATCAGCACCATAAAGGACTCAAACGTATGGGTTTTCAGGTGGTATCTCACTCTCCAACCCTCCTGACCAGACACTGGCTGGGGATTGTGACCAAAGCTATGCTAACCAGCCTTCCCATCTCAATGTAGCATGCTCCAACATGTATACAACCCCTTCAGCAGATCGTATGGGCAGAGCCTACTGTGACAAGCCCTGGTAGCACATCTCTGACGAGCCTGCCCTAACCAGGAGTTGGAGAGTGTCCTAGAGCAGTTGTGGAGGCCCAGAGTTTGTGGGTTTATGGCCAGGGGACTAATCAGACCCATAAGAACAGTGCTGATGAGCTCGGATTCCAGGAACAGAGGCTGCAGCAGGGCTGGCGCTGCAGGCTAGTTGTTTGGCATCACCCCCCATCTCCTGGGATTCGGCTTTTTGCCATTAGCTGTGACAAGGTTAAAGCTGGTGCACATGAAGCCAAACAGCTGAGACTTCCTAATGGCCAAGTGGCCCCCAAGGGAAGGTACACACATGCTGCATAAAGGCAGCTGCCTCCCTAGCTGAACACACACTGCCTGCTGCCTGTGCTATTTTTCTGATCACTCCTTGTCGTTTAGGATGGTGTCAGCAGCTCCCTTCCAACAGGAACTGGGTACGTGGGCAGGTGTCACTGTCTGTAACATGCCACGTGCAGGGCAAAGGCTGCAGGCTGTTTGCATTGGCAGCTGTTCTGTGCAGTGGCAGAGAACTTAGGTGGGCTGTTGGGGTGACTCAGTGATGGGCTGGAGGCAGACAGGACTAGGTAGCTTGGGAACCCTCTCCTACCTCTGCTCATGCCCCAGAGTGGTTTGTTCAAGCTACACACAAATCTGACATTCAAAGCCAGCTCAGAGTGTTAAACCGCCAATGTCCCGAGTTGGGATTTCTTGATGGGTCCCATTTCTAGAAGGGCCATGTGCTCTGGGCGAGATCCTACCATGGAGCTGCATGAGAGGAGACCCAGAGAATATTACTGATTGGTTCCAAAATTGCCTCAGGATTGTTGACTCCCAGAAATCTCATTATCAAATGCCTTTTCAAAGATTTCGCTCTCCGGCTTCATTCGGAATTCAGAGCTTCCTTCTGCTGTGGTAAGACATTTCTCTTCCTGACTAGCGGAGGGCTCCAGGCTTTCTGCCTTGTAAATACCTTTCAGAGGCACAGGGCTACCGGCATCACTGCCCTGCTCTGGTCTGTGAGTATCTGATCTTGTATCCTGCCTTCTTATGGGGGGAATCTCACGAGCCTCCCACCCAGAGATCGGGCTCTGGCTACAGCTTGCTTGGACCTACCCAGCAGGCCCTAGTGGGTTCAGCCCCCATGGGTTCTTTCCTCTGTGAGTAGACGTGACCAGCCAGCCTTCTACAACCTAAATACTGTGTAATCTGAACAGCAGGAAGGGAGAATAAGAGGGTTTTCAAACAACAGCCTGTCCATGTCTCTGACTCAGGCCCTTCCAACTCTAACAGGGACCCAGGCAGGCGGAGGGCTGTGTCGTGCCTGTCAGTTTGAAGAGCTTCTCAGCAACAGCTGCCCCACCTCTGGGCAGACTCCCAGCACTGGCAGAACAAGCTAGGTAATGTTGCTGGTGCCCAGCTACAGGCTCTTCCTAGCTTGTAGCTCCGGAGTGGTCTGTCAGCCTCCCTGAGGTGCTCACTGAGCGATGGTTTTATTAAGCTCTTGTTTCCTTCCTGCTTGTTTTGCAGCAGCCTGCTCTTAAACTAAGATGGGCCAGACTGGTTTCACCTAATACAATGATAACATCAGCATCCCAATAGTGAATCTAATGTAGCTTTACAGCAAATATCCCATGGAATGTATCTGACATACACATCCAGTCTGACAGCTCAGCTCCATGTCTGTCACCGTGCAGTTCTCAGGGAATTTGGGTGTTATGAATACAGAAGAGAGAGAGAGCAAGAGAGAGAGAGAGAGATGGAGCAATAGGTTATTTTCATGTGTTTAATAAAGTTCCATTTCCATGAATTCTCAGGCATTTGACTTTGAAACCCACTTCCTGCAAAACCTCCTCATGCCTGAAGAACAGGTGCTGGTGTTACTGCGTACTATGCACTGATTGCAAGTCTCTGTACCATGCCACAGATACAGGCTCCTTACTTGTAAGCTATAGACTGACAGAGCAAAACCCAACAAGAGCCAGTCAGTTGTTGGACAGAACAGTTACTATATTTAATCACTGACAAGTGATTGAATGAGGGCTGAGAAATTGCCTCTAAAAGACGATCAGAGGGGAAAATGGGTCGACATGCCTGTGCTAAAGAACAGATGTGTAAATCATATGGCAAAACTTTTCCTAATAATACGATTATTGGTAACTAAACCTCCTGGATGTGTATATCGAAAGCCAGCAGATCTCTACAGGAAGGAGCAGTGATACATTTGCGGCTTAGTGCCTTTTGCTTTGATTGTATTACAGAAGTACCCTGAATACAGTATGCAATGTGTTTGTGCCAGTAACTCTGTTCAGTGTATAGTTGTGTGATACTGTCACCTGGTAACTCCCCAGAAGTGGTTTCTAACAGTCATATTCCGTGTCAGGAGCACAGAACTGCTGATTTGTGTTTCAGCCAAGAGTTGAGATGAGGTGCAGGAAAGGGGAGTGAAATAGTGTAAATTATTCATACCCATCACCTGTTACACATACACGAGGGTGAAGTAGCTTGTTCAATCAACTGGGTATTAGTGTATGCCCTGTGTTCACATTAGTCATCCTTGTGTGCTACCTACCCCTCCCTTGCCAGGTGAAGTAATTCATTCTGGTGTTATATATATAGGAGCCTGCAGGATGATTGAACATCCCAGATTCCATCAATGCTGGCAAGGGAAAGCCCTTCAGCTTCTTCTGAATCCGAGTGTGTTACTGGGAGCAATGATAAGCGGAGGTTGATACAGCCTGGCTCTGATAGAACTGACATGTTTAAATCTGGAGTGACTTAGTTGAAGTCAATGATATTGAATTGAGAAACCTGTCCATACAATTCATCCTGAGTGCTGCAAAGAGGCAGTGGCATAATTTGGACTCTCATGAGTGGTGAAAGTATAAAAAGTACATATGTAATGCGGCAATGAGACAGGTTTATAAATAGCTTCATTGCAGAAGAGATCATTCAATAGTGCACTTGCCATATATTCAATATGTCAGAAGTGAAGGGTTCAAAAAGTGTGGAAGGGTCACAACTGTAAAATCGCACAGTGCTCAAGTAGGCTGTGCAACTCCCAGGCACAAGATATTATGGCACAAAGAGTGTAGCAATATTCACAGAGGGATTGGGTGTTTATATGGGTAACCAAAATATCCAATGATATAGGGAGGTTTTTTGGAATAGCTCTAAACTTTCCTGATTTACCCCACAAAATATGTTTGATTAGTGGTTGCCAGGGGAAACTATCAGTGGGAGGAGGTTATCTCAAAGTTGCCTATTACAGGACTTCTTCTACCTTCTTCTGAAACTGCAGGAAGTGTCTAGATGGACTTCAAGTCTGACCTCCACTAGCAATGCCGACTGTCCTATTGGTTGTGCAAATCCAAGTCAATGAGTATCCTGATCCTTCTTGAGCTAGTAGAAGTCTCTAGACTTGCACCAAGAGCAGAAAGATGATGTCTCATTACATACTATTTACTCTTCTCTTCTTTTTCCTTTCAGGAACGAAAACTCAAATCTCTTCAGACTTACACAGTTCATAGATGTCTCGTTACATACTATTTACTCTTCTCTTTTTCCTTTCAGGAAAGAAAACTCAAATCTCTTCAGACTTACACAGTTCATTATGTCAGCTGTCAATGACACCAAATTCACACATGCAGTGTTCCTTGTTACTGGGATACCCGGGCAGGAAGACGTCCCTCTCTGGTTTTCTGTCGGTTACTGGGATACCTGGGCAGGAAGACGTCCCTCTCTGGTTTTCTGTCCTATTCTGCTTCACGAATGCTATCTCAATAGCAGGAAATTCAGTCATTCTCTTCATTATAAAAACAGACCCAAGCCTCCATGAGCCCATGTACATTTTCCTCTCCATGTTGGCTGTTGCAGATCTTGCTATATCGATAGCCACCATGCCAACCACCCTAGGCATATTCTTGTTTAACTCTAGGGAGATCAGCCTGGATGCCTGTTTTGCCCAGCTGTTCTTCATCCACTCACTTCAATGCATTGAATCTTCTGTGCTCCTGTTGATGGCTTTTGACCGTTTCGTCGCGATCCGATACCCACTGAAATACGCTTCCACGTTGCAATCCGATACCCACTGAAATACGCTTCCATCCTAACCCTGCCGAGAATAGCCAAGATGGGACTGGTGTGTGTGGTAAGAGGAGTAGCCATAATATGCCCACTGCCTCTTCTTCTGCAACAGTATCGATACTGTCGAGCCAACATCCTCTCCCATTCCTACTGCCTGCACCAGGATGTCATGAAGTTGGCTTGTGCAGATGTCAGAGTCAACAGTATCTATGGCTTGTTTAATACACTCTTAATACTGGGGTTAGATACGCTGCTCATCTTCCTCTCTTATGTGATGATCCTCAAAACAGTGCTGAGCATCGCATCCTATCTGGAGCGCCTCAGGGCCCTGAACACCTGTGTCTCTCACCTCTGTGCTATCATGCTCTTCTACACACCAATGATTGGCCTATCTGTGATACACAGATTCGGGATTAGCTCTTCTCCCTTGCTTCAGATTCTCCTGGGTTACGTCTACCTGCTGGTTCCACCCATGATGAACCCGATTGTGTACAGCGTGAAAAGCAAACACCTCCGTGCCAGGATAATGAGGGTGTTCATCAAGTGAAGGGTCAGTTTATCACATGGCTTCAGCACTAGTCACAAAGAAGACAAAAATACAGTCTATGATTGCCTGTCCCAGTCTGCACCCTTCCACCTGAGATAACATGAGCTATAGAGATTTGGATGGGGTCTGTGCAATGGAAGAGGAGATGTCCTCACTTGCTGGTGAGGGACAACAGTGAACTGGTTGAAGGAGACGAAGTCAGGCAGCAACATTTAGACAGTGAGTGAGTTTTCAGAGAGTCACAGTACTGGTGGGATGTTGGCCCATAAAGACCGTGTTGGTGGCTGCTCCAATCTCAGAATTCCTCTTGATTTGTCAATAAAGAAAAGGGACGTGGCTCTGGTTTTCCATGGCATCTGGCCTGTTATTGTTACATCTATGGTTAAACATCTACAAGCCAAACAAACAAAAAAAGCTGCAGGGCTGTTCTGCAGTCATAGTCCTGGCCCTTCCTGAGCACACTGGGTGCTGCGTGACCCATGGGGCAGTACCAGTTGTGGGCGGGGGCTATTCCAGGGGCTCAGACACCTACCCTTCCCCCCCAGCCAGGTGTTTGTGACTGAGTCGTGTCAGAGACATGATTCATGCAGGGGCCACAGGAGAAGCCTTTCAGGCAGCCCACCCCCACCCCATTCCCTCCCAGCCCCATTGACCACTCTGCATGCACCATGCCTAAGGAGCCTACAGTAGCGCAGAGTGAGCATTGACACACAATGTTCCTAGGCAGAGACTGAAACCTAGATTCTCTCACACCTCCCCACCCCATTTGGGCTGCCTCAGCTGCTCAGTAACAGGTGGAATAGTCCTTGGTCCCCCCCGCCCTCCACCATGGGTAACTCCTAGCCCAGCCACAGACAAGCCCATACGGGCAGAAGCAACTTCCTCTATGTCTCTCCCTCTTCCCCATCTCTTCCTCCCCCAAACCCCGTCCCCTGCTCCTTCTCATTACCCAAGCCTTCTTCCCCTCTCCAGGACGGGGCTGACCAATGGTAGAGTTTGGGTCCTTTGCTCCCTGGGTAGCCCTTTCCAGGCCCTGCACACGGGGCCTTGGTGGAAGTGGATGAGCTGGGGGAAAGACCTGGTGGGATCAGATACAGTAGGAGTGGAGTCTCCAGGAGTGCAGCAATTCTGAAGTAATGTTTGGGCACATTCACAAACGTGTATCCTCATTCAATCTGTGATCTACAATACTTATCAGAGATCAAAGAATCACAGGGCTGGAAGAGACCTTAGAAGGTCATCGAGTCCAAAACCCTGCCCAAGGCAGGACCAATCCCAACTAAATCATCCAAGCCAGGGCTTTGTCAAGCTGGGGCTTAAAAACCTCTAGGGATGGAGATTCCACCACCACGCTAGGTAACCTATCCCAGTGCTTCACCACCCTTCTAGGGAAATAGATTTTCCTAATATGCAACCTGGACCTCTCCCACTGTAACTTGAGACCATTGCTCCTTGTTCTGCCATCTGTCACCTCTGAGAACAGCCTCTCTCCATCCTCTTTAGAACCTCCCTTCAGATAGATAAAAGCTGTTATCAAATCCCTCAGCCTCTCCTCATAGGTCATGTGCTCCAGCCCCCTAATCATTTTGGTTGCCCTCCGCTGGAACCTCTCCAAAGCATCCACATCCTTTCCACATCCTTTCTGTATCGAGGAGCCCAGAATTGGACGCAATACTCCAGAGGTGGTCTCCCCAGTGCTGAATAAAGGGGAATAATTACTTCTCTGGATCTGATGGCAATGCTCCTCCTAATGCAATCTAATATTCCATTTACCTTCTTGGCTACAAGGGCACACTGTTGACTCATACCCAGTTTCTCATCCACTGTAATCCCCAGGTCCTCTTCTGCTGAACTGCTGCCTCACCAGTCAGTTCCCAGCCTCTAGCAGTGCTTGCAATTCTTCTGTCCCAAGTGCAGGACTCTGCATTTGTCCTTCTTGAACCTCATGAGATTTATTTTGGACCACTCCTATTTGTCTAGGTGACTCTGGACCCTACCCCTACCCTCTACCATATCTACCTCTCCCCCAGCTTAGTCATCTGCAGACTTGCTGAGGGTGCAATCCATCCCCTCATCCAGGTCATTAATAAAGATGTTGAACAAAACCAGCCCTAGAACTGACCCTTGAGGCACTCCACTAGAAACCAATCGCCAACCAGACATCAAGCTGTTGACCACTACCCATTGATCCTGACAATGTAGTCAGCTTTCTGTCCACTTTACAGTCCATTTATCCAGTCCATATTTTCTCAACTTGCTGGCAAGAATATTGTGGGAAACCCTATCAAAAGCTTTGCTAGAGTCAAGGTAGATCACATCCACTGACTTCCCCATGTCCACAGAGCCAGTTACCTAATCATAGAAGGCCATCACGTTGGTCAACATGACTTCCATTGGTTAATCCATGTTGACTATTTCTGATCACTTTTCCCTCTTCCATGTACTTCAAAATGGATTCCCTGAGGATCCCCTCCACGATTTTTCTGGGGACTGAGGTAAGGCTGACCAGTCTGTAGTTCCCTGGATTGTCCTTCTTCCCTTTTTTAATGATGGGCACTACATTTGCCTTTTTCCAATCATCTGGGACCTCTCCCGATCTCCATTAGATCCACAGATAAGAACATAAGAATGGCCATACTGAGTAAGACCAAAGGTCTATCCAGCCCAATAACCTATCTTCTGACAGTGGCCAATGCTAGGTACCCCTAGGGGGAATGAACTGAACAGATAATTCTTCTCCTGTCACCCATTCCCATCCTTTGATAAACAGAGGCTATTCCTACCCATCCTGGCCATTGATGGATCTATCCTCCCTGAATTTTCCTAGTTTTCATCACATCCTCTCGCAAGGAGTTCCACAGGTTGACTGCATTCTGTGAAGAAAAACTTCCTTTGTTTTAAACCTGCTACCTATTAATTTAATTTGGTGATCCCTAGTTCTTATGTTATGGGAACAAGTAAATAACTTTTCCTTATTCACTTTCTCCATAACTGCCTTGATTTTATAGACCTCTATCATAACCCCCCTTAGTCTCCTTTTCTAAGCTGAGAAGTCCAAGTCTTTTTAATCGCTCTTCATATGGCAGCCGTTCCAAACCACTCATCATTTTGTTACCCTTTCTGAAACTTTTCCAATGCTAAGATATCTGTTTTGAGATGAGGCAACCACATCTGTACACAATATTCAAGATGCTGGTGTACGTAGTTTTGGTGATAAGATAGTCTTTGTCTTAATTTCTATCCCTGTTTTAATGATTCCTAACTTCCACTTGAAGGGCTCTGCACCTGGGGCCAGACTGAGCCTCCAAAGCACACACTCCCACAACCAGCTGCAGAGCCCAGTGAGGGGAGCCACATGAGCAGTTGGGGGGAGCCCATCTGAAGTTGTCCCGCTCTCAGCTGGGCAGGGAGCCTAGGACATGAAGACACTGGCAGGGAATTCTGCCACCCCTCAAATCCCCCCGCCCTCCATGAGCAGGTGGAGGGTCTTCTGCAGCTTCCTGTCTGGGCTCCATTCTGGACTGGCTCTGGGGGTGGGGAGTGACCTAACAGCTGTTCAGGACCCAGAGTAGATGCAGAGTTCACCGTGATTCTGCACTGCTGCCCTCCCAGTTTTTACTATGGCCTTGCTGCAGCTCTGAGCCATCTAACCGCCCCCATACCCAGATGGAGCTCAGTCAGGGAAAGCCACACATACAATTGTGCAGAACTCTGGCAGACACTCCACTTGCCCTGGACATGGAGCCAAAGCAGCCCCTGTCCCTACCCCACAGACCTTCCATCCAGGACAGGTGGAGGATCCTGACTTTCAGAGCCTTGTGAGAATACAAAGTTTTGTATCTGCATCCGTGCTGCTATCGCCGGAAATGGGGTGTGCTATCTTCATCCATGGAGATGCATGGAAATAAAGTGGAACTCTGTGAATTTGCAGGTCTCCACCAATGTAGACATCCATAAAGCCGGGAGGTGGTGGGCTCTTGAGTAATGGAGGAGGATGGGGCCAGAGGCTAGGAGAGCCTGCGTTGGCTGATTTAAAGTAATCTCTTAAAAGGGGCTCTTGTTTTGAGCACCCTAGGCTGAGAGTCAGTCTTTGCAAGGAGCTTAAATGGCAGGGCACCTGCCGGGCTACCTCAGGGCACAAGGGGGCACTCTGGGTTGACCCTCATCTGCAGGGTCTTGGTCAGAGAGGTTTCCACTCTTCAAAGCCTTTGCCACCCAGTGGAGATCCATGCAGCCCCTCAGGCTGGGGGGAGAACAGGGCAGCAAAGAAAATCCCTGGATCTAGGTATCTTTCCAGGAATTCTCTGTGTCAGACACCAAACATGCAGCTCTACCCTTCATAAGTGGGGTCAGCAGCTGTGCAAAGCCATCGATGTGCGGGAGGAGGCTGCCTGAAATGCTGCTCCTTGGGTTCCTGAATTAACCATGTTTCTGACATGACCCAGTCACAAGCACCTGGCTGTGGGCATGGGGGAAGGGTGGGTGTCTGTGAACCCTGAATAGCCCATGGTCACAGCTGGGGCAGCCCCATGCATCGCACAGCGCCCAGGGTGCTCAGGAAGGGCTAAGACTGCCACTGGAGAACAACTCTTCCATGGTCCATACATTTTAACCAAAGATGGGACAGTGACAGTGACAACATCGACATGTCTTCTCTTTATTGAATGTATCAACAGGAATTCTGAATTCAGAGCAGCCAGTGACATGGCTTCTTTTGCGTCAACATCCCACTGGGCCTGTGGCTTTCCACAAAGAAAGTCACTTTGTAAATGCCTGGTCAGTCTCCTTCCCCCATTGCATGGTCCCTACCTCACCAGTGGGTGGGGACAGCCCTTCTCCCATTGCACCAGCCCTTGAACCTTCTGCAAACCTCTCTGCGGAGTGGAGAGTGCCTCATACTATTTTCCGTCAAGGTCCCGGATAGAATAGCTGGCCATGGGCCAGTGTTTTTTCAGCTTCTGTGTCACCAGTGCTAGAGGTGGGCAGTGAACTTTACTTGAGAAACACCTTGATTATCCTCCTGCGCAGGAGTTTGCTTTTCACACTGTACACGATCGGGTTCATCAGGGGCGGGATCAGCAGGTAGATGTAGCCCAAGACAATCTGAAGAAAGTGTGAAGAGCTATTCCCAAATCTGTGTGTCACAGGCAAACCCAGGACGGGTATATAGAAGAGCAGGACAGCACACAGGTGAGAAATGCAGGTGTTCAGGGCCTTAAGGGACTCCCCACGGGATGCGATGCTCAACACTGTTTTGAGGATCATCGCATACGAGAGGAAGATGAGCAATGAATCTAACCCCACTGATAAGAGAGCAATAGACAAGCCATAGATGCTGTTAACTATGATGTCTGAACAAGCCAACTTCATGACCTCTTGATGCACACAGTAGGAATGGGAGAGGACATTTTCTCGACAGTATGGGAACCGTTTCAGGAGAAAGGGGAGTGGGAATATTAGGGCCACCGCTCTTAGCACACACACCAGTCCCATCTTGGCTATTCTTGGCAGCGTTAAGATGGAAGCATATCTCAACGGGTTACAGATTGCGATGAAGCGGTCAAAGGCCATTAACAAGAGCACGGAGGATTCAATGTATGAAAGTGAATGGATGAAAAACAATTGGGCAAAACAGGCATTGAAGCTAATCTCCCTAGAGTTAAACAAAAATATACCCAATATTGTCGGTATGGTGGTTATTGATAAGGCAAGGTCTGTGATGGCCAACATGGAAAGGAAAATGTACATGGGTTCGTGGAGGCTTGCGTCTGTTTTTATAATGAACAGAATGACTGAATTTCCTACTATTGAGATAACATATGTTAAGCAGAATGGGATAGAGATCCAGAGATAGATGTCTTCTTTCCCAGGTATCCCAGTGAGAAAGAACACTGTGGGGTTCGATTTGGTGTCATTAACAGCTGACATCATGTACTGGACACATCCAAGGAGTTTTGAAATGTCCTTGCTGAAACAAAACAGAAGAGGAGACTAGATGATATTTAATGAGACATCTTTCTGCTCTCAGTACAAGTCTAGAGACACCAAGTAGTTCATGGAAGATCAGCAAAGACCAGGAGCAGAAGAAATTCAGCAAAAACATAGTCTTGCATTTACATTGGCAATAGGGAAATAGACAAGAGGTCTGATCCACTCTGGCAATGCCTACTTAGCTCCGTATCCTGTGGCCAGCACTGGCTTCCGAGGAAGATGGAGAAAGCCCTAATGCAGGCAGCTATGAGATAACCTGCTCCCAGGGAAAGTTTCCCCTAACACTCAAAATTAGACATATTTTCATGGGCTGCCTCTAGACTGGCATTATTTTCTGCAAATGCTTTTAACAGAAAAGCTTTTCCGTTAAAAGCATTTGCGGAAAAGAGGCATCTAGATTGGCACGGATGCTTTTCCGCAAAAGCATCCGTGGCCAATCTAGATGCTCTTTTCCGCAAAAAAGCCCCGATTGCCATTTTCACGATTGGGGCTTTTTTTGCGCAAAACAAATCTGAGCTGTCTACACTGGCCCTTTTGTGCAAAAGCTTTTGCTCAAAAGGACTTTTGCCCGAACGGGAGCAGCATAGTATTTCTGCAAGAAGCACTGATTTCTTACATGAGATCGTCAGTGTTCTTGCGGAAATTCAAGCGGCCAGTGTAGACAGCTGGCAAGTTTTTCCGCAAAAGGAGCTGCTTTTGCGGAAAAACCTGCCAGTCTAGACACAGCCAGGGTGTAAATCAGGAAAGGTTAGAGTCCTTCCAAGATTTGTTTATAACAATCCTCACTATTGCAATTGGATTTTCTAGTTTCCCGTATAATTATCCAGAATCTCTTTGGGTATGTCTACTCGTCTAGCCCATTATTTCAAAATAATTTCTAAATAACGGACAGCTTATTTTGGCATTTGTAAACCTCATTCTATGAGGAATAGCATCTTTTCTGAAATAGCTATTTCAGAATAGCAGTAGTGTGGATGCTCCACTGATGCTATTTCTAAATAGCTCCTCCCCCAGGCCATTCAAAGTAATTACTGCCCAGTGCTTCCTGGGGCTCCAAATTGATGTAGCACGTCCACATTAGGGGAGCCTGCCTCTGACTAATTCCTAGGCTTTCCTGTAGTGTAGACGCACTATTTTGAAATAAGCTATTTCAGAGTATTTCTTCTGGATAGAAGGGATAGAAAGGGATAGAAAATAAGACCCAGAATATCTTGCTGCCCCTGTATAAAACTATGGTACGCCCACATCTTGAATACTGTGTACAGATATGGTCTCCTCACCTCAAAAAAGATATTTTGGCCTTGGAAAGGGTTCAGAAAAGGGCAACTAAAATGATTTGGAATGGGTCCCATATGAAGAGAGGTTAGAGCGACTGGGACTTTTCCGTTTAGAAAAGAGGAGACTGAGGGGCAATATGGTAGAGGTCTATAAAATCATGAGTGGTGTGAAGAGGGCGAATAAAGAAAAGTTATTTATCAGTTCCCATAATAGAAGAACTAGAGGACACCAAGTGAAATTAATGGGTAGCAGATTTTAAACTAATAAAAGAAAGTTCTTCTTCACACAGTGTTTAGTCAACCTGTGGAACTCCTTGCCAGCGGAGGCTGTGAAGGCTAGGCCTATAATAGAGTTTAAAGAGAAGCTAGATAATTTCATGGAGGCTAGGTCCATAAAAGGCTATTAGCCAGGGGATAAAATGGTGTCCTTGGCCTCTGTTTGTCAGAGGCTGGAGAGAGATGGCAGGAGACAAATCGCTTGATCATTGTCTTCGGTCCACCGTCTCTGGGGCACCTGGCACTGGCCACTGTCGGCAAACAGGATACTGGGCTAGAAGGACCTTTGGTCTGACCCAGTACGGCCGTTCTTATGTTCTAATGTACTTATGGAATAGCTTATTCCGAAATTATTGCACAGTGTAGACGTAACTTTGAGTCCTGCTAAGCTCTTTGCCCCATTGAGATCTTGCAGTGGTAATCCTGCAGACTACTTGAGCACTGTGCATTGTTACAATTGTGACCTTCCCACAGGCACCCTTTCTGGGTCTCCACTTCTGAGTATGGCCCCTTGTTTCATGGCATGTGGAATAAACACAAGTCAAATGAACTGTCTTCCCTTTAAGCTAATTATAAATGTGTTTTATTGCCTCATTTTGTATATAATAATTTTTCTCCATCCCTGAGATTTCAAAGTATACCACTCCCTCTTTAATTCTGGGGGCCTGTTTCCTAATTCATTAACATTTACGTCAACGCTGTCACTTCTTATTTACATGCATAAATTTGATCAGAATCAGGTTCTATTAATTTCCCTTTACCAAAGGCTATCTAGGATACATTCTGATACCAAAAATCTCTCAGAGACAAGCTGAAGGGTTTTGCCTGACCAATGCTCTTAACCACCCTGACTGTTAGGAAGTTTTTCCCAATGTTCAACCTAAACCTCCTATGTTGCAATTTAAGCCCACTGTGTCTTATCCTAGCATCAAAGGTTAAAGATAATAATTGTTCTCCTTCCTCCTTCCAACAACACTTTACGTACTTGAAAGCTGTTATATCCCCTCTCAGTCTTCCCAGTACATAAAATATTAATTCCTTGAGCTTTCCCTCTCTAGATCATAGTGACCCCAGTACCTAGTATTCAGGCACGATGCGGGTTTGCAAGAAATGAATTTCAGAGTCAAATGCCTGAGTGTAACAGAAATGGAACTTCATTTCTGACATGAGAGTGGTCTGTTGCTCTCCCTCTCTTAAATATTCATAATAATATAGAGATATGTCTATCTCATAGGAATGGAAGGGACCTTAAGAAGTCATTGAGTCCAGTCCGCTGCCCTCATGGCATAACTATGTACCATCCCTGACAGATCCCTAAATGGCTCCCTCAAAGATTGAGTTCACAATCCTGGGCTTAGCAAGCCAATGCTCAAACCACTGAGCCATCCCTCTTCCTCATAGAGTTCATAAATCCAGGAATGGCACTGTCAAAGGCATGGCACTGTGCCACCATATTGAGTGTGGCTATTAAAACCAGTCCCTGGGATTTTTGCTGCTTAGCTATATGGGGTTAACTATTGGGATGTTGATGTTAGGGCTGTATTAGGTGAAGCCATCGTGTCTCTTCTCGGTTTAAGAGCAGGCAGCTGGAAAACAAGCAGGAAGGGAAGCAACCGCTCGAGAAAAGCCGTCACTCAGTGAGCACTTCAGAGAGGCTGAGAGACCAGAGCTACAAGCTGGGAAAGGCCAATTTCCAGGCTCCAGCCTTGTTACCCAGCTTGTTCTGCCAGCATTGGGAGTCTGTCTAGAGGTGGGGCAGCTGTTGCTGAGCAGCTCTTCAGACTGACAGGCACAGACACCGCTGGGGAAGTTTGAAGGCCCTTGGCCTGCCTGGGTCCCTGTCAGAGTGGGGGGCAGCCTGGGGGCAGAGACCTGCACGGACTGTTGTCTGAAAACCCTCCTGTTCTCCCATGTTACACTTTAATCTGAACAGCCGGAATAAACAGGATTTTGGTTCGAGAAGGCTGGCTGGTCACTCACCTCCCCACTCGTCACAGCCTGCCAAAGATCCACAAGTGCCAAACTCACTCACAGCTGCTGGGCAAACACAGTCGACCCGCAGTGTGCTCTAGCCCAGGGACTATTGTGGGATTCCACCCCATAGGAAGGGATGCTCTGAGGCCTGTCACGGTCACCGGCAGACCAAAGAAGGACAGAAATGCAGGTAGCCCTATAACTCTGAGGGGTGGGTACAGCGAAGTGCTAGAGCCATCAGCAAGTTAAGACAAAGAAATATGCTCTGTCAGGCCTGTTACCACAGAACAATGCAGCTCTGAGTTCCTGACTTCACAATCCATACAGAGAATAAAACCTTGGAAATTACATTTGCTGATTAAATTTCCGGCACCTGATAAATCTGAAGTCGCTAAGATTCTGTGGGGTCTCTTCTCGCTCATCGCCCCAACAGAATCAGTTCCATGGCACTCACAGAAATGGGAAAACGTGAAACATCCTGACTCATGCAATGAGTTTTGCACCCCGAGCTCACTTGCAAGGGAAGATTTCTGTGTAAGATGAATAACCCAACGTGGGTAACAGGCAAATGTAGGGGAGGGGTCTCAAGCTCCCTAGAGCTGCCTTCCCTCCAGCCCCATCGCTGAGTCACCCCAACAGTCCAGCTGAGTCCTCTGCCGCTGCACAGAACAGCTGCCAATGCAAACAGCCTGCAGCCTTCGCCCTGCACTTGGCATGTTACAGACAGTGACACCTGCCCACGTACCCAGTTCCTGCTAGAAGGGAGCCGCTGGCATCAGAGGTCTTCACCCCAATGAATAAAGAGCCATCAGCGTAGTTGCACGGGCAGCAGGCAGTGAGGGTTCAGCTAGGGAGGCAACTGCCTTTATGCAGCATGTTTGTACCTTCGCTTGGGGACCACTTGGCCATCAGGGAACTTTGACTGCTTGGCTTCGTGTGCACCAGCTTTAACTCCCATCATGGCCAACAGCAAACGGCAGGAGGCCAAATCCCAGGGGATGGGGGATGATGCTAAACAACTGGCCTGCAGCACCAGCCCTGCTGCAGGCTCCATTCCTGGAATCCAAGGTTATTACTGTTCATATGGTTCTGATTAGTCACAAGGTTCTCTCAAGGGCAGCTGAATGGTAACGGAGATGCTGCCAACAAATAGAATAGAATGGAACCAGATTTTCCCCCACCAGCCTCCTTTCTTGCATTAGAAACTCAGGGAAGGGTGATTCCACAAGGCTCCTGTCATGGGGCCTTTGTGGTTCACAACTGAGAAACCAAGTTAAAGGCCATACTGCTTAGAAGTAGGGAAATACACCCCAAGGTATGCCAAATCAGTCACAAAAATAAACAAAAAACAGGACTATGTAGCACTTTAAAGACTAACAAGATGGTTTATTAGGTGATGAGCTTTCGTGGGCC